TAGAAGCGTCGGAATACTTGTGGACGATAGTGTACACAAGTTCGCGAACCAGGCTGTAGGAATGTTCTTTCTTCGCAACATCGTATCAAGAAGCACGGTTGACGGGAACCGCATAAAAATGGCGGCCGGGAGAATGCGAAATGATAAAAATGCATCGTGCTCGCCTGGGGCCGAGGTCCCGGGGAATAGAATACTGAAAAAGTGCGGATTGGTCGGTGAACTTTTTGCTGGAATCGAGGATCGTATGACAGCAGGACGCACGCCTTAAAGGGGTGTTTGCGGTGCGCGCAGAGAGAAATCATGGTCAAGCCTGTAAATAGAGGCCATAAAAGCGATGTGCCTCGCTGCTAGGTAGGTGTGAAACGTAGTCAGCGATCTGACGAGGCTCTCGGGCCGATGCACTGCAGATTGTGAGTATCCTTGCTGAGGTCGAACGCCAGCCACTTCGTCGAAGGTCGTTGCCTGCTCGATATACACGGTGTGCTACGAGAATCCTCCCGCAGCCTCCGTTTTCCGCATCTAGAAACCAATCTCCTCTCGAGTCAATCGCAATCTTCAACTTGGAACAATTTTCCAAGTAATTTCATCTTTCCTCGAACCTTCCTAAATACAGTAGTACCAACTTAAGCGTCCGCGGTTATCCCCACCAATTCTTGGAAACGAAACATAGAACATCGAACGTGTCGAGCGTAACATGACGCCTCATTGTATATGTATATGTATATGTATATGTATATGCATATGTATATGTATATGTATATGTATATGTATATGTATATGTATATGTATATGTACTTATCTACGCACTTATCTTCTTATCCTATCTTCTTTCCTTATCTTGGTTGAATTCTGAGAAGTAACCATGCCATGAAATTGAAAATAACGCGGGCTGGATACCTCGATCAACAGCCTGCATGGTAAATTGCTATTGTTGATTGTGTTCCCTAGTTACGCTCGATCCTTTCACCAAGGAATTTAGGTGGACTGCAGGCTAGTGATACGAACAGTATGTGTAGAGAAAACTAAGTTGGATCTTTCAGTATCCGTATTTTGTTAGCATCATTGAAGACAAAGGGAATCAATAATTGACATCTCTTACTATATTTTACTTAGTCCACTTTTATAATAACCGATCGGAATGTATTAACACTGTCAGTCGAATAGAGAGAGTTATACATAGAAGCACAGTAAACTTTGTAAAGCGATAATAAAACATGGTTAAGTAAAACTGCTCTGTATGCTTTTAGTATTTGTTAGAAACCGTATTTCCCAAAGGACACGCATTACAACCCGGAAGACTCGATCGTCAAGAACCCAGGCGATCATGATTCTCGATTCGCAGGAGATCGTATCACGGCTCCGAGGCTTAATTAGATTCGCGAAATACACGATGATAATCCACTCCCCAAACGAGCTTAATTCACTCTGACGTCTTGGTTGTGTTTTTATTGCACTTTGTTTGCGTTTTAATAGCCCGTAGAGGAAGCGACAAAATGCGGGGAGCAGAATTAATTTGCGCCGCGTTAAGACATTAACGACGACGGCGATCAGAAGCTTCGTGGAAGACCGTGCCAAGGTCGCGGTGCATGGTTTACAATGTCACACGGAATAGGAGCGCCTTCGAGATCGTGTAGCTATACTTATGCACGATTCTTTCAAGTTACTTTACGCATTTTTTCTGTAGCTACCGATGTTCATCGTCTGCAACTTGTAGTAATAATTCGATACTAACCTCGATACATCTTATGCAATACGTGCTCCACGACAGCCAACAGAGAAGACTTCCACTGACAGAAACCTTACTTTAAAATTTAGTTACCTATGGGTGTTACAATACTATTTATAATAAAGTAGGGAAACAAGTTTTAGTTTTCTCAGGAAATTTGATATAATATTATGATTGTTTTAAACTTAATTCTAGAAAGGTAATGTGTCTGCATTTCACGTCAAAACTAAGATAGCGTCATATAGGACGCCAGTCATTCTCGAATTATTTAAATTTAAATAAATATACAATCCTATTAAAACTTTAAATTTATTTTTTTCGATGATAAAATTAAAAAATTATTATTTTATTCATAATATATTTATTATAAATTAGCATATACATATACATTATATCCCTAATAAAAAGATATTATTATTAATACTACAAAAAACTATCAACTTATTTTCCTCAAAATAAATATCAGGATGAAAATCATAATTAAAAAATATCACACCCATAATTAAACGCTATATCTAATTGTTAATGATGTAGATAAATAAAACGCAATATTACAAAAATTATAATTTTGGGTTGATTCTAATACGGGCTATAGTCATACATATGTATATCGAATGTGCACCCAATTTTTTAAGGGAATTGGTTATTTTGAGATATCATGGACACCGTTATGAAAAACATAGTTTCAAAAAAACACGTTTAAAGTTTTGTATTCCAAGCAGCTATAACTTCATTATTTTTAGGAATCCGAACTTCTGCAAATATATTTTTGAAACTATGTTCTTTAATAAAATTAAAAAAAAAAAAAGAAAATTCGATTTTTTCAAAGGTACACAGTAGAATGCCCCCTTCACTTACATTTGTTTTTAAGTGTTACCTATTCGATTATATTGTTCGTTGCAAAATCAATTACGACTCGGGTCAATTATTCTGTCAGGTAAAATGAGTCAACATAACCTTGCTTTTTCAAAAGTAGCGAACGAGAAACATTGTGAACGTAGCAAGAAAGTATTCTTTGTATGTGAATTATGTCGTGCGTTATTATGTTTCCAATGCATGTATGATGACTTCGGCACAATGTATATTGCAAATGCAATCGTAAATGAAAGATATTAGAAAAAGAAACTATACTACTATTCGTAAACAGAACTCGAACTCTCGACCTCGGGCGCATGAACCGCCCACTTATGCCATTCGCAGCACGGCTCTTCGCTGACTGACATTGATATTCATAGTATCCATAGTATAGGATTTTCCATTATATATTGCTGTAAAACAATTCTTTTTAAATGGCTAGTGAAAAATAATACAAATTTTGAGCTTTGCAGATTACGAAATAATATAAAAAATATTAAAGCAAGTGCAATTAATTTCGTTGCTACTCACAAAGAACGTTCGGGAATTTGAAAATTCAGAAAAATTTTAAATTACACACAAATGTAGTTCAAGTAATTCTATAAATGGAACAATTTTTTATTCTGGCAATAAAATGAATTTTGGGATGAAAACACTCCTTTAAAAAAATTATGAGTCCTCGTATTATCGCGAATATTTTCAAAACGATACAAGATATAAATAGAAAATTGAAATCAAATTTTTATGATTTTTTATATCATATAACGTGGCTATAACAAAATTCGAAAAATTGATGACGACGGCGATGGAGATGAATTTTGAAAAAAAGTTCCTTTTTGAAAAAGTATATTTGCATTTTTCGGGCGCATCGCTGGCTTTGTGAAAAAATGAAGTGATAGAAACATAGACATTAATTTATAATAAAAGTATATGTATAATGACACGACTATGGCAGTCGAAACTTTCTTTCAGTAACTAAAAATTAGTTTTCGTTCTACTGGACGCGTAATCAAATACTTACAACCGTACAAAAATGTATTCTTTTGATACAAAAAAATTGATCAGCAACTCTAAAGTCGACTCTGATTATAATCAACATTAATAAGAAAACATACACTTTTCGCTGGTGAATTGTACGACTGACATCATCAGCCGCGTCCTTAAAATTGATCACCATCGACCGAGATGGCACTCATTGTCCACAGAAGCTAGAGGAAGCCATTAATGTCGATTATCGTTCACATTAATGGTAATAGTGGAAAATAAAATAGCGAGGGTAACGCATGGCAGAAGAAAAAGGAAAATCACCGAAGTAGCAAAAAAACGAATTCGTTGGGTTCGTGAATCGTTAATAAAAGAGTCAGAACCATTAAGAAAATTAATAAGCAATCAATTTCGCCGACTTCCACGAAGCGCGAAAGGCAAAAGAACAATGGAACGAGAACGAAGCTGAGAATGGTAAGGATGGCTGTGAAAAGAGATGACAAAGTCGTTTCGTTCTTGGGAATAAGAACGAGCGAGACGAAAAGAGAGAACGCGAGAAGCGAACGTTCCGGTTTTTGCCGGTAGGGTGCAAGGACAAACGGATTGCTCGCAGGACTGAAAGTCCACTGTGGTACGTGATCGGTGTCAGCCACGATTACCGTGCCCGAAACGCTCGTAAATGCGCCAGGAATTGCAACAGCTGGTACCAAAACGCGTCCACGCGATCCTGTTCGAACAATGGCCGAAATAATTACGTTTGCCCGGTGTAGAAAGGACCAGCGATAAGGATCAGTTATACAACGCTGATTGGATTTTGCTTTGTATTTTCAATTCGAATGGATTCAAATGGCTGAAAATCTTTGCCGTTGAGACTGAACAGTAAATTACTTCGTTGTTTTTCACTTTCTTGATTAGTACTAGAAGAACTTCTATATCTTGTTACTAAACTAGGACAATTTCTAATGCTTTTTAATAATGCAACAGCATCCACTTGACCAGAAATTCTTAATTTTTATTGGACTCGAATGTAATAATTATTCAGTCCTGATGATTACTTAATTCAGAAAATAGTATCTTTGATTTGCGACTTTTAAATCTCTTACAAATAATCTCTATTGTCATTGGAGAGAACCAACGATGCAGTGTGGTAAAGCGTGAATGCACAGAATATATGTATATTTCTTCTTTCTTTGAAATGAGCGATGACGTAATTGAGAGTTCTACTACGTTCCTGATCGATATTTCGATCAATCTTGTCCGAGTCGTGCACGTATCGCCAGTGTTCGTTCTAACAAGAGAATATTGCATTTAAACACTCAGTTATAATTAAAGTAATATACAACCCCTCATTACGAACTAATAAAAAATTGATTTCTTAAATTCATCGTTCGATAATGGATTTCTTTTAATTGTATTTGGTGAATTTTTGTTTCAGGACGACGGTGGTATCGAATACTTCAACACGATAGTGGTACAGCCACACTTGAAGTTGGTAACGAACCAGGGTAGGGGTTTCCACGTGAGATGTCGATACCAGACAAGAGACAAAGTGGTGACGAACGATCAAACCCACGTGGCCATGTTGCAATCACTACCGCTACAAGTAAGGATGGATTTTCCTTTCGAATTACAGTAACGTTTCGATAAAACATAGACCATTCTCTCTACCACCACTAATGAAGTTCCCCACATTTAAAGGGATACCCTACTCTAGAACTCAATTTTTTAGTCGTTCTTTAAAATTTTTAGAGAAAAACGGTAAATTATTTTGTATCATGTTTAAACACATACCGGATGTTCGGTCACACCTGGGAAAAATTTTAATGAGAGATTCTAGAGGCCAAAATAAGACGAAAATCAAGAATATCAATTTTTCGATTGAGACTTCGTTAAAAAGTTATTAAAAAATGAAATTACAAAATTTCAAATCATTCTGACAAAATTATTTTTGGCTGCGGGGCTCAATTGCAATCATTTTTGGTTAATAGACATACCCCAAAATCCTAGGCACTTTCGAGAAAAAAATTCGAGTATGTGTGAAATTTTTCGACAAAATTAAAAAATTTCAAATCGTTTTGAAAAAATTGTTTTCGGTTACGGGGGTCAATTACAAACATTTTTGGTGAATAGACATACCCCGAAATCTTAGCCACTTTCGAGAAAAAAATTCGAGTAGGTATTGAAATTTTTCGACAGAATTAAAAAATTTCAAATCGTTCTGGAAAAATTATTTTCGGTTACGGGGTCCACTTGTAAGTATTTTTGGTGAACAGACATACCTCCGAAATCCTACGCACTTTCGAGAAAAAAATTCTTTACTGAAAATATAATTTCTGGCCAGAAATGTTACCCCAAAATTTCGTGCAAATCTTTAAAACGTCATAACTCCTGAACGGATTGGACGATTTTAATGTTTCAACATGCAAACTGCGCGTATTTTAGTGGAAAATATGTAGAAGTTGGAAAAATATTGAAAAAGTTGTTCCTTGACCCTGCAAAATAAGAAAAACCCCATAAAAATGGTCCAATTTTCAAAGGTTCATAACTCCTACAATAGTGAAGATATTTAAATGAAACTTTTTTCTAAAATAGAACTCATTGGTACCTACAAAAAAGTATTAGACAACTTTTCTGTAGAGCGTCAAACAAATTTATTAAAAATAAAATACCAATTTTTAAGAAAAATCGACGGGGTGGGTATCTAAATTTGTAAAATACCTAAAAATGTAGGTACCTAAATTTTTTGTCGAAAAAAAAAATTTTAAATCGTTTTTTGGAAAAATTATTTTCGGTTGCAGGGGTCAATGCTAATCATATTTGGTGAATAGATATACCTCGAAAATCCTACGCATTTTCGAGAAAAAAATTCTTTACCGAAAATATACTGTGTGACCAGAAATGTTTCCCCGAAATTTCATGCATATGTTTAAAAAATCGTAATTTCTGGACGGATTGAAGGATTTTAATGATTTAAAATGCAAACAATGCGTATTAATGGAGCTTTAGAATCCTAGAAAAATGGGCCGAAAAAATATATTTGATGTAAGGTCTACTCGTATACCTTGTCTGTGATGAGAACTACTATCGCACGTATGCAACTTTTTAACAAAGCCTCCATCAACAAATTGGTATTCTTGATTGTCGTCTTATTTTGGCCTCTAGAATCCCCCATTAAAATTTTTCCCAGAGTTGGCCGAACACCCTGCATATTTAGATTTACATTTGAAAAATATCTACAATTTTTTCCATATAAAAATATTCAATATTTTAAAAGTTAACCAAAAGAATAAAACTAAAAAGCATGTTATGTTAAAATGAATGCATGTTAAAAGCATTCAGTATGGACGTTGTTATATCTGGAACTAGAATAATCAACAATTTCTGTGTATTTTGTTATCTTCAATGTGCTAGAAAAAGTATTTTTAATTTATTGTGCATTTTTTTAATACATTGATAGTACTTAACTACCAATTATACTGGTTATGCCCTACCATATTGTTATAATTGGAGAATTTGTATCCATTTCATAGCCTTTAAAAGAAAAATATAATGTTGCACATACATAATAAAAAGTAACAACGCAATCGATCTAAAAGCGTTTGGAGATGAGTAATATGTATATGTTGTTGACAGGCAACAGCTCCTATGCCAGGATGCACGATGAAGATCTTCAGCGGAGATCCAACGAGACATCAAGTGGCGGAAAACGTGAAGATCGGGGACCCTCTGACCTTGGTCATTAGCATCGACAAACAGGAAATGTTCGGTCTGAAGATCTCTGATTGCCTGGTACGCGATGGCCTGGGATGGGGGGAGCAGAGGCTCATAAACGACGAAGGGTAATTTCATATTGCACGCTTCTCCAACCTTCCAACGCCCGAAAATCGCCCGTTCGATTAATTTTCTCGCGTCCATTCTAACCTATCCAATAATAGGCAGGAAAGTGCTAAAAAGAACGACTCTTTTCCTCATACGAATAAACCTAACTCAACCTTCCAACGCCCGAAAATCGCCGGTTCGATTAATTTTCTCGCGTCCATTCTAACCTATCCAATAATAGACAGAAAAGTGCTCAAAAGAACGACTCTCGGCTCGTACGAATAAACTGCCCGCGCCAGAGCGTTCAATGAATTATTCAAGGCCTAAATTCAGGGTACAAAGCGGCGTGTCGGTTCATTCACTTCTTTTCATAAGCAAATCAGCTGATCCGTCAACAGGTTGAACTTTCCCTCTCGACTCGTCCAGAACGGTGTCAGAACAACAGAATTTTCAATTCAAAGCCTGAAAGTGAGCGCAAAACCTTCGGGGTGACCGATTTAAACGAAATTTTGTACGCTGGTAGATTTCGATACCCACTTTATTAAAATTTGATAAAATACCCAATTACTGTCACTTATCACTATTGTTTTCATCACTTATTTATCAAGAACATGTCTTTCTTTTTATCTGTTACTTTTCAATATCTCTACTACAAGGAAACAAATAGTACGATCCTTCGAATCTCTATTTTCTTTATAAATTTGTAGCGGCTAGCTCACACAACAAAAGAAACATTTGGCGTGCAAATTCAGCATGGTTTACGACAAGCAAAGTCGAAAAGGCCACTTTTGAGAAAGCCGTTTCTTACGAGTTTTATTAGCCAGCATGTTTTTCGTCGAAGATTTCACATGTCATAAACCAGGGATTTCCGAAGGGCTGCAACGCCAGGTCAAGCGACCCTCGGCGGGTGACATCACCAGGCCTAGACTTGGAGGAAATTCCGCTACATTGCCAAACTTCCGCCGACAAAGCTACCCCCACCGGGTCACATCGCCTTTCCCAAAAAGCGCGTCAAGGGCGCAAGGAGTAGGCGGTGACTTCGGAATTGCAAGATGCTTAATTGATTAACTTCGACACATCGGTTGAACCAATTAGGCGACTGCAAACAGTTCGAGAAAAAAGTTATTTTGTACAGAAGTCAGTCTTCGCCACGACACCCAGTGAACAACACCTTCAGAATAAAGAATACAAGGCGAACTTTGCGATTGCATTTAAGACCCATTCTTATCCTCACACGCAACCACTTCAAATTCAATACTTAAAAAAGAAGAATATGAGAGTTAATATTGTCATCCCAATTATTGTCACCTAACTAAATAGTATCAAGGTAAAAGACCCAATTACTGTCTCCCGATCAAAGATTAAATTCCAGCTTTAATGAACAATACCAATTTGGCAACCATTATGCAGATATAGTACTTACATTGACAAAAAATCACTAATCACACGGCACGCGTCGTAGTCACTTATAGGTTATGAACGTATTATATTCATATATGGTGGTGACCACGTACAATTTTGTTTCCATAAGCAACTGCTGCCATGACAGTAATTGTGAAATCCGTAAATTGTTTATATCAGTCACTATTACCTAAATATTAAATAAAAATAGATGAATAAATCGTTTGCTATTGTTCCGTCCGGTCAGCTCGGGTTTTTCCGCTCGTTTATGGTGCCAGATGCGGAACCTTGACTTTGTCGAAAAAGTCTTCGAACATTCTGCATCTGGCAAATTTCATCGTAAAGCATTCAAGCGCTTTAGCTTTTCGAAAGTGCAAGGCCCGAGTTGACCGACGAAGGGCTGCATTGTTCCGCGGGTGGCACGGTCCTCTACAACAATCGTCGCCAACTCATGGAACAATGCAGCCATAAAACGTCTGCAACGCACGTGTAGCTAGGCGTAATTCGGAGTCCCGTTTTTTCCTCGGCAAAATTAACGGGGCCTTCGACTTGGGGAGGAAACCTCGGTCACCCTCGTCCAGGGTGAGATGGGACTCTTCCTCCTCCACGATCGCGCGAAGGAGGAGTTTCCTGGCCAACGGGGCAGGAAAATCGATCCTCCTCCCCCAAGTCGATGGCCAATCGATAAACGGAAAAAGTCAACGCGAATCGGTTGACGAACCCCCAAAATCGCGTCTCGGAGGGGGTTCGAGCCGAGGACAAAACGGGCTCCGGACACTTCGACACTCGTCGCTGAAACCTCAGACAACAACGATCGAAATCTTTAACTCGTCGCTAAAAGTTCGAAGACAACGGTCGAAATCTTCTTTAACTCGTCGCTGAAATCTCAGACAACAACGATCGAAATCTTTAACTCGTCGCTGAAATCTCAGACAACAACGATCGAAATCTTTAACTCGTCGCTAAAAGTTCGAAGACAACGGTCGAAATCTTCTTTAACTCGTCGCTGAAACCTCAGAGTAAACGTTCCAAAATCTGCAGTTCCATCGTTTCGGGAACACTCGTCATTCGATCTTCGAAGAAATCGCAACTTAGAAAGTTCAATCGTCTCGTGAACCATTCGTTGTTCGAAGATTATTTCGCGAAAACTCAGCTCAAGCGATTCGTGAGCAACAACTCGTGATTCGACATCAAAGAAAACAGCCGGATTTCGATTCGAAACAATCCGGCAATTCAACAGTCGCTCAAGATTAATTTGGCGAGCGACGGCTAGGAACCCGCGTACCACGAGGGTTAAGAGGGCCTTACAACCCCTCAGAGTTTAAAAGAAAACTCACGCGACTACCTGGCCAGTACCGCCGCGACGGTACGATTCAGCTATGGTATTCTGTGAAGCTTATACAGGGTGTTCGGCCACCCCTGGGAAAAATTTTAATGGGAGAAAATAAGACGAAAATCAAGAATACCAAATGGTTGGTGAAGGCTTCGCGAAAAATTATTAACATTTACAGTTTTGCTCGTACTGAATTTTTTTCTCGACAATACGCAGGTTTTCGGGAGTATGTATATTCACCAAAAATGATTGTAATTGATTCCCGCAACCGAACATAATTTTTCCAGAACAATTTGAAATTTTTCTTTTTCGTCGAAAAATTTAGGCTTCTTGAATTTTTTTTTTGAAAATATGTGGGAATTCGGGGGTATGTGTAATGGCCAAAACTGATTGTAATCGAGCCCTGCAACCGAAAATAATTTTTTTAGAATGATTTGAAAAATTTTTTTTTCGCCAAAAAATTTCAGCACCTATCTGAATTTTTTTCTCGAAAGTGGGTAGGATTTCGAGGGTATGTGTAATCACCAAAAATGATTGCAATTGACCCCCGCAACCGAAAATAATTTTTTCATAATGATTTGAAATTTTTTAATTTAATTTTTTAATAACTTACTAACTTATTAACGAAGCCTCAGCCAAGAAATTGATAGTCTTGATTTTCGTCTTATTTTGGGCTCCAGAATCTCCCATTACAATATTTCAGTCGGCGTTTTCACTCGTTTAATCAACACTAATCGTTTTTATCATTTTATGAAAAATAAATAATAAAGAATTTTAAGTGCAACTTTTTTTTATTATTCCCATTACACTTAAAATTGTATGTTAGACTTTTTTTCATGTATAATATTTTAGGATTTATTCAACGTTTTAAACAAAATAGATTAGAGTGATAGTCTTTGGTTATTTTACCCTATATCATTACAGAATCAGAAGTTCAATATTATTCGAGTTACTTTCTACTAAAGTTTTTAATTTTAAAGATCTTTCAAGATTTAATTGATCAAAAGAATTTACCATTCGGAAAAAATTATTTTTTTCATTTTCTTTGTTTTTTTTTTGCATTTATTTGGTGAAATTAATTAAACTGTGCTTGAAAACATTTACTTCAATTTTATTGCAGATGTATATTTCCGTGCATTTAATGCACGAGAAACTATTCATATCGTTAGCTACAAGAATGCTGTTTTTTAATGAAACGAGTGAATTATAGAAGAAAATAAATACAGAACAACTGGACTCATCATTAGATACAGTAAAACACAAAATAAAAAAACATTATGCGCATCGTACGATGTGCAATTACTTCTTTAGTAGTTTCGTTAGAAAGCAAATTTGTTTTACATTTTGAAAACATTTCACTTTTCTCGCAGAGTCCAAATATCATTAACATTCACGTAAAGATTAATGCACATAATCGGCGATGTGTTCTTTTCTCTTTCCATAATATAATTGTGTGGTCCGATAGTAATATAAAATGTAATTTATTCAGGACTAATAAACCATACAGCGAAATTATAAGGGTAACGAAGATGAGATGTTTTATAAAACTGTTTCAATGGTAATACACAAGCACGGGAATTCCCCGCGACCGACTGACGAGCTTTACTTGGGGGTTCCCCTACGGTCGACCAGTATTCCAACGTCAAGCGCCATCGTGCGGCCATAAGCGTGCCACAAATTGCAATTCTCTATTCTTTCGAAAAAATTTGTTATATTACGATAAAAGTAAATATCGCAATTTGAAAACTTACAGTAAATGAAATTAAAAAGAAATCGATTTTTTAAGGTGCTAAAGTAGAATATCCCCTTAATTGTTATTCCAAGTGCAGATAATTGGGAGAAAACGGAGGATGTAAACAGGTTGCAATTGGTCGATAGATTATAATGATTAATTGAGCAGATTTGTTCTAAAGCAATGTCATTGCTCTTTCAGTTGCCCGGTCGACGGTGAAATTATGGGACAGTTCACATACAGCAACGACAAAACGGAGGCGAAGGTGAACTTCCAGGCGCACAAATTTCCCTACACAGCCAGCGTCTATTACCAGTGCAACGTCCGGCTGTGTGTGAAACACGACGGAGGATGCACTAATACGGTAATAAGAACTATTTTCTACCCGTTAGATTTACAAGTACAAAACACGCCACTTTCTTAACCACTTGACATGCATATAAAATTTTTTATAGCATATTTGGAATACTAAAGTATTTTAAAAGGTACTAATATTATACGTATAATTCGTAACATGTACCGTGAATAATAGGAGCAAATGGCCTGTTAATGACTGATATTTATAGTAGTGGTGTCCAAGTATTTGAAATTCAAACCGAGACAGAACTCATTTTTTCAAATCAAGTATTTGATATCCAAGTTGTATTACCAATTTAATTATTTATGTAAAATGTGAGAATGCCTATAATGTAATAAGTTAAAAACTTACATATTAATTATAATATTTATACTTAGATTACATATTAAGGTTTTTACCCTTGTTTCAGTACTTTAACTTTTACAAACTTGCCAATGAACTTCTACTAATATCAAACCACTTTAAGTTATTGAAATGGACAAATATTTTACTAACAAATATAATAATACTATAATTAAGCAAGAATACATAATCAAGTATGCTTGGATAATCAAGTTTTCCTGGATAAGTAAAATTGCTTAAACAGTCCAATTTTAAAGTTCAAGCAAACCAAAACCAAGACTCGGCTTGTATTTCCAAGTACTTGGATGCCTCTAGTCCATTGTAATCATCTAAAATAAAAACTTGCCTCTATAGTTCCTTGAAATAAATAAAATACTTGAAGATTTTTCGAATTTTATATTAGGATATTAGTGTAATCCAGCAGATGTTCAAACATCTCGCCATGAACGTTTAAACGTTTTATTACCTGCTTCCTTGCATGTTTCGTTACATTCTCAAGTTGTGCAGTAGTTAAACTAGCATAATTAGTTTCCATTTTAACTTTCATATTATCAATTAAAGTAAACACGCAGAATGTAGTTGGACACCTCTGTAACAAGTATTGTATAACTGTTCCAAGCGAAAGAGGACAAACGTCGCGAAACATCGTTTGGAAAGTTTCCAAAAGAGATCATCAATATTCCGTTGTTGCAGCCACCGGCATGCAATTCGATAGCTAGACGACGCAGGGATACCACGAATGACAACTCAGTGAAGAGTGTCATAGGCTTGGATGGCGGAACACCGGCCACCATCGAGGTTTATAGCGGGCTCTACGTGAACGAAGCTTCGGACATTAGCTCCAAGTCAGACTTCAGCGATGTCTTCAGAGAAAGGGTGAGCCACATTTGTATTCCACTCTCTGATTGATTTCGTGGTAGTTGCGTTGCGATTTTGAGTTATTGTTGCCGCGTGACGAAAGAGAGAAATTGAGTAGTTGAGTGTTGAAATAGCAAATTAACATCAGGCAACCACACTCACGATTGCAGTTGAATTTTTAAAGATTTTAAGGTTAAGATTTTGATTGTAGTTCATGTGCACTTCTCTTTTCTTTTCTGTTACAGTCTATGTATATTAAAGACTCTATTGTGATCTTGTTGCTGGTCAAAGCCATTTTACTTTCATTTTGAAAAGCAAAAATAATCCTCTTTCTTCTTTTTTCATAGCTGAAGTTGTGTTTGCAAGCAACAATTTGGAATGGTACCAGTTGTTAATAAATCCCTGGTCTTTCAATGTAAAATTAATACGAATTATAATTGAAAATGAAGAGGATGTTTCTCCTCAAGAGCATACTCTATACTGTATAATTACTGTAATAGTTTTTGGCAAATTAAAGGTGACCTAAACATAATGCAACAATACACCCTTTAATAATTTAACTGACTAAACATTAATACTTAATAAGTGCTGAATATGAAAAGTTACTTCTTTTTCATTGTAGCGAACCAAAAGTACCTTCCTTCTCAAGTACGTTACTAATTACAGCATGCAAGAGTTTACTCAATAGTTAGATCAAGATACAGGGCATTACTTCTGTTATAACATACTAGTAACGTTAGTAATGTTTTATTGTTTTTGAGGGCCTTGGTTCATTTTATGATGCCTCCTTATTTTTCTTACTGGTTGATTCAGCTCTGTTCTAGAGGAAAATGTTGTTTAACACGGTGTCTTTTGCATGCAAAGATCGAGGCCATTGAATGCTTAAATAATTATCACAATGATTTTTCTGATAAAAATTTCACCTGCAAAAATTCCTGTCATCTCATTATCTACCATAAATCTATCTATTTTCGCATTTCCAGACAATTGACGATCCCAACAGCATCTGTATCTCGCAAAGGAGCTTCGCCATTGGCATCGCGATCGCTGGTCTAATTCTCATGTTGGCGGTGGTCGCCGCGATTTTGGTACTACTTGCCAAGAAACGGCACAAGAGCGTCTCGACAACGGGCTCGTCCATCTACAGTGGGCCCTACACGAACACCGCGTACAGTCACAGCAGCTAAGTTCACTCCGACCCTCGAAATTCCTTAAACGGGGATATTCGAACGAGAAATTCCAAACTGCACAGTAGTGAAGAAGCGAACGAAAAATCGAACGATAGATGGACGACTACATTGGAAAGCCAACGCTTTCGAATTAATTTATCGGTTCTACGTCGGCCCGGTTGAACCGAGGCGCAGAGAATTTAGGTGGAATAAACGAGATACCTTTTGCTCAACTGCCGATGCTATTATTGTTGCTTTTTTTCTTTTTTTTTTTCTTCGAAGAAGTAGCTCAGAACCGATGGGTCCAGACACGTGTTCGAACATATCGGATCAGTCTATGGAATTCGTGTGCTTGCGCGTGTTTTTTTTTTTATTAATAATCTTGCCATTCTTTTGGTAATTCGTTGCACCGTTTTCTAACACTGTCCCTTTGATATTTCCTTCATTGTGAAATTTGTTACTTAAGCACGTGTCGCGACCTACGCTTAGAGAAATCCGTAGCTCATCAATTTGAAACGAATTGACACGAATCCCTAGGATTAACTTTAATATATATACGTTATAGATATATACTATTATTATTATAATTATATACATACTGTATACTAGTCCGGTATACGCTGTCCTAGCTAACCTAGCAGCCGCATTAAAATGGCGCACAACACGAATATTATTTGTCCATCACGATCATCCCGGTAATTTAACTTAATCAACTGTGCAGAACAATTTTAGCGTTTAAGTTGAAGTCAAACTAGTTCGCGGAGACTCTTTAAGCGAATCAAACGTCCCAGTGACTCTAACTGCCAACCATCCTTCTTCCTTCGACTTCCGTGCAACTCTTTGCACATTTCCTTTTTACGTTTATAGCAATTTCTCTCCATATTTATATGTAGTCATCTCACTCGGTCGACACGTTGTTTGTACTCGAGAAATAATCTCTGGCGCGCGGAGCTGAACAAATTTATCTCAATCCTCGACTGGCAGGACAAAATACTTTTTACAAAATCGATATAATGTATCGTCGAAAACTTTGGGGGAAATCTTCAGACAACACTTTATCCCTTGTTCTATATTCTGATACTATCTTATAGTCATAGGTTAGATATATTTCATCTATCTAAATACTAACCTAGCTTGTTTCGTTGCAGTTAATTCGAACATTGAGGTTAGAGTACACAAAGTTTTAAGTAAATCGAATATGAACAGTATGTTTTTATTGTTAAATAAAAACACATCCTTTGTTAAGTTATTGCGCTGGTCTCGAACTATGAAATCTTAACGAGTAAATACTGTGTGGCTTTTTGCAGCACCTACCACTCGAGGATTCAAATAAAAGTAAAACGCTCCAACTTCCTTTAGTGTCTTTAATTACAGTCCACTTACATGTTTATAATTTCCTTCGAACTATCCACTCGGACAAAAATGGATACGTGATCGGCTCTTATTGATCGATAAACTAATGAACTTATCTTGTAACAAGAATATCAACTCAGGGCTCTTTTTTTATAGCTCCTTACGGTACCTACCGACGTCGAAGGTTCGAAAAAAGGGGTAAAACGCTCTAATTTCCTGTGGTGTGTTTAGTTACAGTGTAGTTACATGTCTGTAATTTTCTTCCAACTACCCAACTCCTACTAACCGAACAGAAACAAGTTTCCACCAGTTTAAACAAATTATAGTTCTCTTAGCACGTTCACTGCGGTTACTTTTTTCGTAAAATAGTATTTCGTGATATTTTGATGTTTGTATTTGACGAAATCGGAAATATTGGCCAATTTATACATATTAATAATTGGATTTCAGACTCAAAAATGTTTAAGAAACAAACGTGACATTATTTATAAATTTAATTTTTCGTAAGTTACACGGTGATTATTATGTAATATAAGAATAGCATGACTTTATTTTCAACCGATGAATTGCAAATATTTTTAGTACTTTATCGTATCTTGTCATCATAATGAAAGACAACTAAGTAGTTTTAAATAAGAGCAAATTAAATTAATATATTATTAATGCAGACTCAATTGATAAACTGAATAACACAAACGTAAGTCAAACAAAATGGAAGTTAGAAAGGCATTTCTTCTTCTCTTTCTGACAAATATCTTTCTTGCAAGAGTGATTTGCATTTAGTCAATGAATGGACAACAATGTTCGATTAGAATATTATGTATGCCTGGTTTCAAGGTCTAATACATCTTTATATTTTGCAACTTTTAGCGTTAATGAATCCTTATAAGCAGACTGAAAATTACTGAAAATTGCTTTTAGTCGATGCTTCTTTTTTAATATTTAATATTTATACTTTTATTGGTAAAAGTTGCATTCTCCTTGCATTGAATCGTGCCTTTCTTAGTCAAATAAATTTCGTAACAGACGTTTATATTTCATAATCAAATATTTTTGATGTAAAAAGGCCGTATTTATTACTTAGAGCTAACTCCTGTGTTTTTGTTATTAAAATAGGATATATATGAAGTGTAAAAAGTAGAACTGTCTCCTCATTGCAGCAAACTAAAACAGACTAAAAATATAACAAACCACTCTTATAAGAATAATTCTTCATATGGAAAGGCGATGTTGTTAAAGAAAAATACGTTTTTACATGTTTTGGAATTCAAATGACTAATATTGTCTGCTATTGTGAGAACGAAGACTAAAAATGAATTGGATACTATTATTAGTCATACCTACATACGAATGTAAAATTGATAAACGGATTGTGGGTTGTTGCTCTTACATAATAACAACTTTATGGTTTTTCGAATATGATTGACACCAATTTACGGTATATGTTAATTTCCTGAGTGATTATTCTACCGATGTATCGTTATTCGAAAAAGACAACGACGAGTAACGAGTTATACTAACGATGACGTTACAAAGTTTCTTCCGAAAATTCCAGGGTAAATAATTATGTATTTCGATCTTCCTATGAGCTGTAGAAATCTATCCTATAAAAAACTTTTATTGTCAGGCCAAAATTGGCCAATTTCTACCATGGTCCTTTACATTTAAATCAAAAGGACAATATTAAAAATCGTTGATTTTTTAAATAAAAAATTCTTTTATATTTCTATGCCTTCTTAGGAACAAAAAGTTTAATATCTATTTTGTCTGGAAATGATAGGAAAATTGCCACTGGATTCTTTCCCTATCTTAAGTGAGTGATCTCTACGTAACCCAGACCGATGGCCTTTTTAGGAATCGCAGACCATGGGTTGAGAACCACTGGCCTGAAATTTTTTGTTCCTAAGGATGTGTACATAGGTACGTGCTCTTTTCAAGGCAAAAAAAAATCGATAATTTTTAACATTGTTCTTTGGCTCTCTGTTACGAAATCCCGCAGAGCAGCGAACGTGTTAAAAGGCAACCCGGGAGTTGCATGGGATGTATCGGTTTATTACGTGCTTCGTGTTACGTGAGATCAGGTCCCGTTGACTCAGAAACTGAAGAAAAGGCTCTGGTGCGTGTCCAGTTAGAACGTTCCAGGCATGCGAAAATCTAGCGAACATTCGAAAACTGACCAACCGCGTTTCCTTGTGTTTCTGGCAACGTGGCCCTCGCATGAGTGTGGCGATAAACGAGTCTATAATCCGATTGTAATCCACTATAACGCTTAAACGTAAAGTTAGTTTAATTGAATCGAGGTGCTGCTCCGATGTCGGCACTCTTTGCATCGGGAACTCTTGTTTTTTAACGAACGAACTCATTAGAGGGCGCAAATAATATGAAAATTAGAGGTTAGGTATTCGATACGATTCAATCCCAATTCGCCGAATTTTAGGTTATCAGCACAGCCAACTAAAAATTTGATGGCAAACTTTTTTTTTTCGATTCGTGTACCCTCGGTTTTGGAAATTCGTTCGTTGAAACTGTTAAGTACTTACCCGTGTACGTCCCTCCGTTTCTTCGATTCTTTCGCAACAAAAATCAGAAGATATAAACGACAGATTTGCCGATTTGGTAGCTACTCTTGCAAGAAAGAATCGAATGAAGTGCGAGGCAGTGACGTTTCGCCGACGCGTGGAGCGTCTTTTAGTTTTTAGTCGTCGAAAAGGAGTGAAACTGCCGATGCAGTCGCGTAACTGGGTCCAACGTGGTGGTGGGTACAGATCGTAAAATTTACATTTTAAAGAGAGAAATAGAAGGAACAACGGACACGCAAACGTAACCCATAAAAACGTTATTATACGAAATATCGAAAATGAAGAAAAATGCAATAAACGTCGATTCGATTTGTAGAAGCGATTATACGATGGCGACGGTCATTCTCTGTGGACTGGCCTTCACCGAACCCTACATTATCGAACATCGTATCGCAGCAATTTTTTTATTCCGTCCAAGATAACCGTAGAGATTAAACAAAACTACGAAAACTTTAAAAAATACAACAAAATATTATTTGATCAAACAGTTCACTTTTTATTTGTTCGTTGTGAAACATTTCATTCTCTAGCTCAAATTCTACTTTTTATTTAACAAGCAACGGATGATAATTGTTAATCTTTTATTCGAAATATCTATTTAGATACGAATTTTATCCATTTCTAATCTTCGACTATCACAATGTATAAAAATAACTCGGCTTTAACATTCGTGAAAATGTAACACGATACTCGACGAAACTACCGCAATGTATTTACAAACAAAATGCTTCCATGTATTTTTAAGAATGTTACGTCGAGGTAAAAGATAAGACATCAATTTTATAACTTTTGATTTACGATCGAAGTATAGTATAAATTTGTAATGATTGTTAACTCGGCGTCATGATTTTCTGCGAATCTCACAGCAAGTGCAATAACGTCTTTCGCGATATCGACAGTCCTGAGAATTTCTGTCGCGGATTGGAAATGGCTGGCGAACGTATAACGAACAAGCGTGTTATCGTTTGCTTGTGCTCGTGGCATTGGTTCATAGCGACATTGGGGACGAAAATGCCTGTATAGAGACTTTTTTTAAGGACACGTGATTCTTCTTAGGTCCCGCAACGTTCCTCTGGACCCTTGTCAAAATACCTTACAACGAACTTGTGTAAATAACGAAAACGCAATAAATCTTGTAACCATAAAGCAACACGACTATTCAATATCCCACAAAAGATGTGTAAAATATCAGCCTGCACTTGTCTTCATTATACAGGGCGTTCGACCACCCTTGGAAAACATTTTAATGGGGGATTCTAGAGGCCAAAATAAGATCAAAATCAAAAATACTAATTTGTTGATGGAGGCTTCGTTAAAAAGTTATTAACGTTTAAAGTTCCGCCCGTACTGAATTTTTTTCCTCGAAAGTGGGTAGGATTTCAGGGATATGTGTATTCACCAAAAATGATTGTAATTGAACCCCCCAACCGAAAATTATTCTTCCAGAACGATTGAAATTTTTTATTTTTATCGACAAAATTCACACATTCTCGAATTTTATTTCTCGAAAGAGGGTAGGATTTCAAGGGTATGTCTAATGGCCTAAAATAATTGTAATTGACCCCCGCAACCGAAAATAATTTTTCCAGAACGATTACAAATTTTTTTTTCGCTAAAAAATTTAGGTATCTACCCGGGGGGCCTTGTCGATTTTTCTTAAAAATTTGTATTTCATTTTTAATAAATTTGTTTGACGCTCTACAGAAAAGTTGTCTAATACTTTTTTGTAGGTACCCATGAGCTCTACTTCAGAAAAAAGTTTCATTGAAATGTATTCACTATTGTAGGAGTCATGGACGTTTGAAAATTGGCCCATTTTTATGGGGTTTTTCTTATTTTGCAGGGTCAAAGAACAACTTTTTGAATATTTTTGCAACTTCTACATATTTTCCACTAAAATACGCGCAGTTTGCATTTTGAAACATTAAAATCGTCCAATCCGTTTAGGAGTTACGACGTTTTAAAGATTTGCACGAAATTTTGGGGTGACATTTCTGGCTAGAAATTATATTTTCAGTAAAGAATTTTTTTCTCGAAAGTGCGTAGGATTTCGGAGGTATGTCTGTTCACCAAAAATACTTACAATTGGATCCCGTAACCGAAAATAATTTTTCCAGAACGATTTGAAATTTTTTAATTTTGTCGAAAAATTTCACACCTTTTCGAATTTTTTTCTCGCAAGTGGGTAGGATTTCCAAATATGTCTATTCAAAAAAAATGGTTGTAATTGACCTGTGTAAGTAAATATTATTTGTATAGTATAATTTGAAATTTTTTAATTTCGTCCAAAAATTTCAATACCTACTCGAATTTTTTTCTCGAAAGTGGGTAAGATTTCGGTGTATGTCTATTCACCATAAATGATTGTAATTGAGCCCCGCAACCAAAAATAATTTTTTCAGAGTGATTTGAAATTTTTTAATTTAATTTTGTTAATAACTTTTTAACGAAGCCTCAATCAACAAATTAATATTCTTGATTTTCGTCTTATTTTGGCTTTTAGAATCTCCCATTAAAATTTTTCCCAGCGCTGGTCGAACACCTTGTATATTCTCGTGGAGGGGCACAACCCTTTATGGTGACAGATTACTTTGTAGCCTGCAACAGTACCAGCACTATCGATACCCGCAGGAGACTCTATCAACCGCACTGGTCTCTACATATATACTATTATTAGCGACAAATTAATAGCTACTGTTAGACAATAATACACTTTTAGTGAATCTATGTTCTGAACAATCACACTAACGACTAACAATTTTATGAAACACCAGGAGAAATTTTTAGCTTTTAGAGTTGTACCAACATGACGATTGTTGGAACTATGCGTGTGGCAGCGTAGTCAACCTGGCTTAGTCCCAAAATCCCCTCTCCATTATCCCTCCTCGATGACGTTGAGTCTCATCGGATGTACAAGGGTAAGTCAAGCTATCTTGCGCTAATATTTATTATAGTATATAGAGATCAGTGATGTAAACAAAGTTTGCAAGTAATCGATATGCCTATAAATAATAAAATCATTGGATCGCGGGAATAATTCAAAGGTCTCGCAAAGTATCAAACGAGAGTGTCTTTTTTTTATTGAATTATATATAATTCGTTTTTGGAAAATATGATATATATATGTATATAATATAACAAGAAATATAATTAGACTGACATGAGTTCTATCAAATTATCCGGCTCTCTATGATGTTGTGCATCTTTGGGTTGGTAGTATAGCTCTTTGTTTCCATCATACGATTCCTAATAGTTTTCACCTTCTCGGTCACCTTCGCGATGCATTTCTAAACGAATCCTCTCCGATTCATCATAGTTTTCTTTGCTATTTTTTTTTCTCATCCCACGCACGATCTCGCTCGTTCACTCGTTTCACTATCATTTTTTCCATCGTGTAACTCTTTGAGGATCAAAATGTACCTATTTTTACCTCTCCTGTAACTACATTTGTACCATTAAATTATACAGGATGATCCATCAGAAACAGAATATTAAAACTTCTCGATCGGTGTTATAGATAAAAACATTACTTGGCGAAAAAGCGGATTGGTTTCATAGGAACGAGTAAAGTATAAAAATAATTATTTATCAAATACCGTTCCTTTCAAAGTAATAAAAAATCGTTCAAAGGACCTCCTTGTGATACTGTGTAACCATTCTTTATAAATCAATTATCTTCTTCAGGAAATGAAGTTTTGTTTGTGCTGGACCATTCTGTATATACTGACACACAAAAACTGTATGCGTCATTGGTCGCATACTGCTGAGAGGGCTGTTGTATATTTCATTGCTCTGGGCCTCAAAGAGTTAATATCATCATTAGCATTTGGCCCATAAAAAGTCAGTGAATATGTTTTTCAGGTCTCCTCTTCTCTTCATCCAATAAATATAATGTACATTCCTTTGATCCATTCCCGGTTCTACCTTGATATTCGATGGAGGACAAGTCACAAGCTCGATCGTGTTGTGCACATGACTCTTAGTTGGAAAAGAAAAACTCTAAACTATAGCATTAAGCATAAAGGCACAGCCATCATTTGTCCTTGTACCATATGATATGTTCAACAAAAAAAGAGAAAAAAAAAGAAAAAGAAAAAGATAAACAATCAGGCTTAATCTAAAAAGACTGCAAGTGTGCAGTGGAGTTTAAACTTTAAACTTGTCCTCGTTGTTCAATTCAGGGATGTTAGCTTCAAAGCATATTCACTGTGGGCATGATGCGTTACTATTCAACAACGAGACGTCTAGTTCACGCCAGCTAATGCCTAAAGAGGTCGGCGACGAACGAATTGCGATCTGTTTTCTGCGTCCTGCACAGTATTTGAACATAAATATGGAACAGAATGCAAAATAACAAACACCTAAGGTCACCGATCATCACTGTTCTAACGCACTCCTCGTGGCCGCTGTACGAGAAAAGGCAGGGGAATTCAACGAAGCATTATTAAATCAAAAACAAAAATTTTGAACGTTTATCGATCCGCGGAATGAATTCTTCATTGAAAAACAACTAAAAATGATGCGTCAGAATGAATTCTCCAACCATTTCTCGCGGAGCAGCTGCGCCTGCGACGTGTTTGCGCAATAATTTAAGATTCTGCGAATGGACGAAAATCTCCGCCGATTCTGTATCGGCGATCAGCTACTAATCGGGCGCCGGAAAACAACGAATCTCGGGGCTGAATGAATTCACGGCTACGCTTATAGGCTAACGAGTGTTCGACGTGGCGCGGCGGCGCGATCAACGGAAGGTGATCAGAAAGATGCGAACATCCAACAAAAAGTATCAAAGTTTTCACGTGTACTACACATTCTCCTTTACAGTTTCATTTCATTCTGCATGTTCTCTCTCACGTGCTCGCGTACTCTCGCTACCATCAATCTCCTTTTATGTTGCATACAAAAATAGTAGGAAACGAACGTGAGGTCTTGCGAAACTTACAATCACTTTATTACTCGTTCTCCTCGTTAGTTTAATAGTTCTTCGAGCAAGTCATCCGACAACCGGATGACTTTTTCGACACTCTGTATGACTCCCTCCTCCTTTCTTCCGCCCTCGCTTTTTCTTTCGAATAGCCCAGGCAAAGTTACAAAATTACTTGACGCTCGATGCACCTGCAAGCAGCTAGAAATTGTCTCGACTCCCAGTGCCTTTGTTGCATTCTCGAATTTAAATAAATAGATCGTAGGTGGTCTCAGGGGACAGTTGTGTGCGCGGTAGGTGCATCAAGAGTCCAATAAAAGCGTACACCCGGAGCGAAATGAATAAATAAATAAATGTGACCGTGCAATTGGCGATTATGACTTTGGTTCAGCTCTTCCGGTTACATGACGTAACCGCGACCGCCTACAAACGACGCTGTTCGGCAAATTATAATAAATTTGTACCACGCGGTTCTCTCTTGTCCCTCCGTTATTCCTTTCTTCGTCGTGATAATTGATAAACAATACTGAAAATCGCACTAACGGATACACGTAAGATTAGACAGGATGCTGCGAAACGCAAAGTAGAACTACCCTGCGTGGAAAATTGAATCGAAAATATAGGATAAAGGATTCGATTTCAAGAAACTGGACCTTCGAAAGCGTTTGTTCATTCTACGTTTTCGATTCATTTTTTTTACGCAGTATTACTATTTACATATTATGGGATATACTGTGTGTACAGACGCCGCTTGCAGACGGTTTCTCTCGATAGCCGATATTCCTGTTTCGTGTTTTCATTTCTTGTTTCTTTCTTGTTAATTATGTCTTAGAGAGATTCGTGAACTTTTTTCTTTGTTTTCTTTATAGGTACAATTATCTTCATTAATCACTACGACGACTTTAGGTACAGTTAAACACTATGGTTGTGCGCCCATCTCTTTATAATCGAAACGTCGAATAGCGTTTAATCTGACTAACGTAACTGCTCAGGTCGCTCTCGTTTTCTCCGCGCTTAAACCTACGACTTTTTTTTTTCTTTTTAATTAAAATTTATCACGCTTCTTTAAGAAGAAAGTAGTGCCTCTCTTTCGTCGCTTCTCCCGCAGAATAGAATAAAAGGTCGCGATCTTCGTTCAAATCGAACTCTCATAAAAAGATAGGCACACCTTCACCTACGTCCTGAAGTACAATTCACCGTAAGCGAAGCTTCTGGATGGATTCCACTTGGTTTCTCTTTCGGAACAACGCGCTCCTCTCTCTCCTCCAGAGAAACGATCGATCGGTACGACGAACTAAAACTCGAATCTTGTAACGCTGGATTCGAAATCGGGTCCACGAACGACCGAAAGAACTCGCCGAGACGTGAACAAAGGTTCGCGTTGATCCGTAGATTGTTATTATTTTCTTTATTTTTTTTTTTTTTTTTCACAGACGGAGACATTATTTTTAATTACGACGATCACGCGTCACCATCACTGCCGACGAACTGATACACACGTATTGCTTCTTTGGTAGAATCGGGCTTTGAAAAGTGTTTCGGTTCGCGTAGCTCGGACATCTGTAGGATACAAGAAGCGTGCCGTGAAAAGCTTGGAAGACGAATTATAGTTACACCGTGTGTGAGATCTGTAGTCGCGTTATGCTACTTAGAAATAAACTTTGTTGCGTAACGTTGCGTCTCATTTCGGCTAAACTTCAATATCGATCCCCTCTGTACAAACGAAACAAAGACAAAACGATATCGAAAAGACACATGGCGAGGCAGGTTTCTATCGTGATAGCTAAGCTGTGATGGTTTCGCGCTACTTGACTACTGTGTCGAACTAGATACATAGACCATGTACTGAATACGTTTACAGATTCATTCGAGCAACGTTTACTTGTACCAAAGTGATCGTCAAAAGTCAAAAGTCGATGCAAGATCAATAATAGATTACAATACTAACTGAAAAGAAAAAAGGGGGATACAAAAATTTTACGTATCAGGTCGTTTCATAAGATTTTGCAATTTAAGCATACTTAATAATAGTCTGACCCATTCAATCCGCAAGACGTTCATCAATTCTTTACATTCAGTCTTCCGTCAGTCATTGAAGAGAGTTTGAGCAAGACGGATAATAGTTTTCGGTGAAACAAGGCAAAGAAAATTAATTTATATTAGGCACTGCCTGCTTTACGTATATAAAAAATTAATAAAGAGATGAAACAAGACGATGACCACTTTGTTATTACATATCTGCCACCAACGAAATTTACTTAATTGCACAAAAGAATAAAAATACTTGTGAAATGACCTGATATAACAACTCGCATTGAAAATATTGCTAAACCTTTGGTTACATATATCTGAGAAAGAGTCTCTTCTTTGACTGTCAGACAAAAAGAATCAGAAGTTTTCACATGGGAGTTTTGTAACATTTGTAAAAGACCGATAACGTCTAAAACGTTTTCAATATCAAAATTGAGGTAGCAAACAATTTGATGCCGCGAATCACAACTGGCAGCAATTTTTGTTATTTTTTATTTTTTATTACTTTTTTCCTTTTTTTGGTTTAAGATTAAAGCAACGCTTTGGTGGCAGTTCGCAGAAGAATCAGTGAGCAATGATCATTCCTGAATACATGCAGAACCAATCCGATAGATCTGATTGGACAGCAAGTTGTAAACGTACTCAGTAACGTGTATAATACTCGTACATTAATTATTATTATTATTATTGTTTTAATTATATGCGGATTTCCTTGTCGGCCTTGTAGACTGTTATGAGGACCGCTTCGGGTAATCCCCGTGTGTGTTCATTTTAAAAGTACCTTTTCCTTACAATTAAATCTCACATTCATATAGTTATCTGTAAAACCGCGATTAAAATATCTTCAGATATAATATAATATACTGTATATATATATAATATATATGTATATATATATATCTCCAGATATAATATAATATACTGTATATAATAATTGCAATAGGTAAAATTCTATTCAGTAACTCTCTGTTCGGTGTACCATTGTGTATATCGTGCTCCATGTCAAAAAAAAAAGGAAACAAAAATCAACGCATTCATTATCCTTTTTATTATTTTTTTTTTACACACACGCATATATGTATGTATATTCCTTTGTTTTTCCCTTTCTCTTTCTGATTAGTTGCAACAGTTCGAGCACAATCGTTTTCAATCTCCGCGTTTTTATCAAAAGAGACGTAACATTTTTTTGTTTATTTTCTTTTGCTTTTGTTATTTTAGTTTGTTTCGTTCTTGTTCTTCGTTTCTCTTCGATTCGTGACGTGAATGATTATTATACTCTGGCGGTGTGTGCTTCTTTTTTACCTTCGTCTCTTAGATAATTAAAGGTACGGTTAATATTAATTAGTAAGAATCGTGTGTATATCGAATGAACCGTGTGTTGAATGTTCGGTTCCTTTTTTTTTTATTAGCTGCAACGGTTAATTATCTTTTCGTATTTCATGTTCGACGCTGTCCACATCCGGTTGACCCAGCTACCTAATATTGTACCAGTTGATTTCGACGGGTGATTGTCACCTTCACGGTCCCTGGAAAATGAAAGATTAGTTCTGAGAGCAGAGACCCTCCGTTCGTCTCAAGGTCGCGATACAATGCCAGTGAGTTGCTGTTTGTGCGAATCAGAATTGCGATAAACGGGTGTTTGTTATCGAGACACGTCGATGGCAGGTCTAAAGCGTATTTTTGCAAAACAATTTGCAAAGTGTATACAATATTGGTAATCGTTGTCCAATTAAAAATAAATATGCGAGACGGTATTGTAATCCACCAACAAAGGAAGTTCGGCAATTGAAATGCTCAGAAAAATCTGAAATTTTCCAGAAATCAAGCACAGTTTAGTCTGTTTATGAAAGCTACGGCTTACACTGAACATTGTCCAGTATCATCTTTTTTCTAGTTTCGTTTATAGAATATTTTATGTAAATATGTAATATAGTATTTAGTATTTAACATTTCCTCAACATCTCTTATGGTTTCAGAGATGTTATAAAACAGAAACAATTAGAATTCTTTTGAAGGGGAGAAAACTCCTCTAAAGTCATCTGTTAGCTAAAAAGAAAAATAATAGTGTAATTAGGTTCACATGTACTTGATTTATGCAAAATTTTTAATTTTTTGGAGTGTATCGATTACCAAACTTCTCTTTGTCAGATGAGAAGCTCTGTGCGGAAAGATTAGGGAAAAGAGAGTGCTATTACCATGAATGTAGAAGATGTAGTGATTGTGTACAATTACAAGTTATGATATACCTTTCTCATCGATAAATTCTGTTTTAAATACTTGCTTGTATGTAAAGCATTCATATTTACTAGCGATTGATTACACTCTCTAGTGTTAGTTTCTCTGTATTATTTGGATTCAATTTATTTGTGTTAGGGTAATGATAGAGCAAGGGAAGTTTCAGATCTGGTCCTTGTCGATTTTAATGAGATAGGGAGATAGATCCATATCTATCATAACTGTGACCATAATTAAAGTCACAGACCAGCTAATTTTGAAAAAAGTATATATAAAAAGTCAGGAAACTGCGTAATTGAATATATTTGTATAATTTTTATAAATAAAGCGCATGTGTTTTAAATTGCACACATATATACATAATGTTTACAAAACAAGAAAACTTTCATAGGGAAAAGTTAAATGGTTTAGAATGGAGCATGTTTTGTGATCCATTGTTCTATTATCGAGGTACGATTCTAGGAATTGTCAACCGTTATCTCTGTTAGACTTGATTGCATTGTAAGCGAAAGTGAAAAATACTGAAACTGAGTGAATAGGTTTATGTAGAACTTGGTTAGCTGCACGTGTCAGAGCTAGTGTTTCGTTCCACATAGCTTCCAGAACTTTTCTTCTGAGAGGACTGCAATACCTATTTTGTCTCACAATTAATTATCGAGCAACATAAAGCACAAAACTAGTACATTTTACTTGAAAAGAAAAAAACAAAAATCTATTATTGTGCGATAAATACATTCATTGCAACTAATTTGCACGCATAATAATAATATCACCTGTGCGCGTGAACGTATAAGCATACAATGCACCGTAGTCAAACATGTGCTGGAAACTTATGCTTTCTATTTTTGTCGGTCGAGATAACCATAATATGATCAAATTCTCAATTGAAAACTAGACTTTTTAAGCACGATTGAAACAGACAAAAATAGCAAGTAATTTTTCTAGGCACGCGAACTAACAAATATCGTAAAAGCAAAATCAATGTGTGTGAAAGAAGCACCTATGTTAACGACGTGGATACCGTGTTCTTTGTAGTATTTTATACTTATGAAGTTCTGTACCTTATATCATATTGTCTTCCACAGGTTTCGCTTTTAAGGGGATACACAAGAACGTGTCAAAAAGTTGTGTCACACTTTTCGTTCTTCGTAAGCGAAACAAAAAGTAGAAAGTAAAGAGAGCTTTCAAGCAGAAACGTATCGAACGAGCCGAACATCTAAGTAGAATTCATATAAATAAATGTCGGTCCTTACCTTCTCTGAGATCTTTGGGTACATTAGACGAGAGCGACGGCATGGAAGGAGTCTGATAAAGATTGGGCCGCACGCCAGTCGGTGGCAACGGTGCCACTTTGGACCTAATCAACAAATCCGTTTTCAGTTTCTACAATTTCATTATTCTGATAATGCGAAATACCTCATGAAGTAGAGGTATTCGTTCTAACTATAAAAACAGCTCGAGTCGGCTGTCGAATGTAAAAAAGGATAGTGAGTAAAAGAGAAGAAGGTTTGAGACTTGAGGCGAATAAAAAAAACATATCACTAGTGATGGTATTTGAAAATCACTCACAAAGCAGACATTACTCGTTTTATTGATCAAATACGACTTCACCAAACGTGATCTTGGTGATCATTGAAATGTTATTGTATGATACAAAAGAGGTGATACCACTTTTTACAGGTCTTTCTTTAATCGAAAGATAGAATATGCAGGGTCTAATATTAATCTTGTCGAATGCCATGTCGTTTACTAATGTTTCATGATGATATACAAGATGAATCACCACGTGTTACCATCTTGATTTCCGTCATTATTATTAAGCATAGCGAAAAATGTTTCATATAAAGTTGAATGGTTTCAAGAGGGACATGTTTTAATATTATTACTTTTTTGTAAGTGGACGCATAATAATAATGGTGGAAATCGAGGCGGTAATATCTGGTAACTCGCACTGTATACAGGGTGTTCGGCCACCTCTAGCAAAAATTTTAATGAGCGATAGTAGAGGCCAAAATAAGACGAAAATCAAGAATACTAATTTGTTGATGGAAGCTTCGTTAAAAAGTTATTAACAATTAAATTCAAAAATTTCAAATCGTTCTAAAAAAATTATTTTCGGTTGCGGGGATCAATTACAATCATTTTTTATCATTACACATACCTCCAAAATCGTACGCACTTTCGAGAAAAAAATTCCTTACTGAAAATCCAATTAGGTGCCTAAATTTTTCAACGGAGAAAAAAAATTGCAAATCGTTGTGGAAAAATTATTTTCGGTTGCGGGGGTCAATTACAATCAGTTTTTGTCATTAGACATACCCACGAAATCCTGCCCACTTTCGAGAAAAAAAATAGAGAAGGTGTGAAATTATTCGAGAAAATTAAAAAATTGCAAATCATTGTGGAAAAATTATTTTCGGTTGTAGGGTTCAATTACAGTCATTTTTGGTGAATAGACATACCCCCGAAATCTTGCGCATTTTCGAGAAAAAAATTCAGAAAGAGCGGCACTTTAAACGTTAATAACTTTTTAACGAAGCTTCCACCAACAAATTAGTATTCTTGATTTTTGTCTTATTTTGGCCTCTACTATCGCTCATTAAAATTTTTGCTAGAGGTGGCCGAACACCCTGTATACATATATGTCTTTTGTTTTAATAAGCTATCACGTATTTTACAACTATGAAGGTTGACAGCTTAACATCACAAAATGGCGAAAAAATATTTGCATTTAAACGAGAATTATAAACGATGTGTGTAATATAAAGACACCAAATTAAATTAACTTCTAGATATAAAACAGTAACGATTGGAAACATTAAATTTATTTTCAATGAAATGCTTTTGATTATGTGGTGTTATTTCATAAATGAAAGTAAATTCAAGAAGGAAAGAATAGAAAGTTTGTGAAATCACCTTTGTTTACGTATTTTCTGATTTCTCCCATCGAACGAGGTGGGAGTACCAGGGCCTGAGGTGTTCGACGAGTATGAAGGTGGTCGATATGGTCTTGGACAACCTTGAACAACAGGTGGTGATGGGACTGGCGCGTATTGCAATCGCGGATTTGCTGGTACTCCGGGATGCATCAATCTCATATCCCCTGCAACAAGAAGCATGTAAAGTCGATCATTTCATTATTTACATCTCTCTTTTTTAACACTTTAACACGTAAATGCTGAGCTAATTTTGTTCTACTTTCTACTTAGACGACATGTAAATAGAGAAAAATGCAATTGTTTTAGCAAAAGACAATGAGCAAAAATCTTCACTGAAATAAAATCGAAGCTATGTTGTGTACCTTGTACAATATGGACACCCTGATACATTGGCAGTGGGTACCGTGGTTGGGTTTGTGCGTTTCTGTCCCCGCTCCCAGTTCCGAACAGTTCGTGTGCTGGAGTTGGCGACCTGCTAGTTCTCTGTGAGTTACCTGGCGTCGAAGCTCGAACACCAGCAACAACCTGCGACACGATGTAAAAATAGTTTATTAATAGAGAATATCGTTTTATCGCTCAAGGCCACTTTTTCCCACTGTAAATCGCGCGTCTATTCTTTTCTTGCTATGTCAACTAGTTTCTTTGTTTGAGAAATTCATGTGGAAGATGATCAGGATAAGTTTTCAGTGGTCTTGAGAGAACAATAGTTGACTTAATGCGGTTGTTCCAAATCTTACAGGAACGTTTTGTCTAAAAACGAGATTGGGAACCAGCGCGGGAGTCATGTATGTTCCAGGAGGCGCAGGGGATGCACCGTTGTGTCCGACTTGGTGGCCAAACGTTCCGTTAGACACCATCGTTGGCGGTGGATAACTGCCGGAATTTACGTACATCAATGGCATCCCAGACATCTGTAAATTGAACGTTTCCAGTTAAAATAAAGTGCCTTTTCCCCTTGGTGCTCTAAGCACATGCTTATTTTGGTTCCAGGATTAAATACCTGATTCGAAGTGGGAGTGTTTGGTGGCGTGGGTACTCTGTACATGACGGGTGGTGGTTGAATCGCCGCTTGCCCTGGTGGGTAATAGGTGGGGACCATGTGAACCGGTGGTTGATACGTGTAGTCGCTTGGTGTCGGTGTGACAGTGGGCACGGAATTATACGGAACTGGATAACTGCCCACATAATTGGCTGAAACAGACATAATACGATTAAATAATCAAAGGATATTGGGAATTGTTGCATTTAAAGATACAGTAATGCCTTGAAAATTGTAATGTTATTCCCACCAGTTCTTGGAACTGGCTTCCCGTTTGTCTCGGCGGACCAATATGTTTATGTTTTTAAATCCGCGAATCTCTATCTCACTAGCACTGTCTGGGAAAAGGAGACACACGGGATTTTCTGGAAGATCTACCTCTCTTCAACTTTGACCAGTTTTGGTCCCGAACATCGATCAATATCCAAGGCATTACTGTATTGGAAATCTTTGACTTACAATTCGATTGATTCGGTGGCGTCATATTTTGCGAGTTAAAAGAATAATTCGTCGAGTATCTTTGCTGTTGATGCAACGGCTGCCTATCACCTGGACCCTGACTGACCGATAGTGCTGTACCAGGTGGAGGTACAAAATACATCGTCTGTTGTGGCTAAAATGAGATAATAACAGCAATAGTTACATAACATTATGATGTGCTATATTTTTTACTATTAAGACTTTTGGGTGTGAGCCATGTACAGTATCAGTGTGTCTTTTGAACCCTGATGAAACTGGCTGTAATGCTTAGAAACGCTGGAACAATTTCCTCGCAAGGACATGATTCACACTTGAAAGTCTAAATAATAAAAATTATACAATGCCAGGCTGGAAAGCCTGAAATCTTTGATTAATGTTAGACTAACTTATTTAATGTAACAAAAGCATTTCATACCGGAATTGAGTTGGCTGGTGGTTGCCAGTAATTTTGCGGCATTGTCTGTACACTTTGCACCGCTTGGTTAGTGGCTGGTTGTGGTTGTGGATAAGAATGCGGTGGTGTAGAATGATTTTCACCATTTACTCGCTGGTCGTAAATACTCATGCCCATAAAATATCCAGATAATTCAGTTATTTCCTAAATTAAACAACATTATCACCTAATGTGCTGTTTCATTTTATCGAGGAACATAGGACAATTAAGTTAATTATTTATTATCACTCCATTTTCTTCTTTAAGTTATATTATCTTCTTCAGGTATAATCAATCTTGAAAAATACTTATACAACAGGAATAATGTGGAAAGAATGAGACAATTTAAAAATTGTAAAATTGTAGATACAATGCCAAAGAAAAATAAAAAAATAATTCAAGAAAAGCATGAAAGTCCACATTAATCAAATAAAATAATCGCAATATAAAAGTATCGTTGAACTTCATTAATACATGAATTTAATTTTTGGTTAAGTTCTTTCAGCAAGACAGTATTTAATCAGCTGACAGTAATTGAGGTGACAATAACTCAGTAAAACGCATTTTAGGGGTGACAGTAATAGCTTCCAAAACATTCTCTTTAAATTATCGAATTTATAAATAAAAACAGAGGTTCTGAGAGTAGCAAACAAATGAAAAAAAATAATGCAATTTTATCTTATACTTGGTTAAACGAGTAGAGTCAGTCGATGTAAAGAAACGCACGTGATCGGCATTTAGACGGAACAGGATCGCCCCTGAATTTCAACTAGTGTTTGGTAGCCGATAACTGCATCTGTATCTATCACGTTATGTACACGTATAGGTTAGATTTGCCCTAACTTGACTCGCTCGACGTAGTATACATAGACTCGTGGAATGGGCAATTTGAGTTTTCAGAAAATTTTCAGAACATGGATGAAACGTATTGAAGTTGAAAGAAATTAGATCATTATTCGGAATCATGGCCGCCTCACCGATTTGGATGATGTTGAAATATGTTGTAGATATCAATATTCTAAGTACTTTTAAGTGAAGGGGGGGGTCAGGTCTGGGTTAGGTGTGAAAGCGGGTTTAGGGACAAAGCCCCCCGAATTGCGGGTCGGAACTTGTCTAAGGGCTATAATTAGACTCACAGTTTTATTAAAGACGGAAGTTTAACTTATATGTGTACATATTTTTCTTTTCGACAATGGCAATCAGGGAACACGTGTAATTAAAATTACAAGTCTAATCACGGCTCCTACATAAGTTCCGACCCGTAATTTGGGTCCTAACCCAAACCTAACCCCCTTCATTTCATCATTACACTTCAGGCAATTCATAATAATACTGCGATTAATTATAAAGGTGATTAAATTATCACAATTATATATAGTTAAAAGTTCGTATAACTTCATTGTAATTAAATTTAGTATTACTCTAGCGATTCGTACATTTTAAATGTAAAACAATTGGGTCTTATCTGTTTCCTTACCACATGAATACTAATAATTAGAGTTAAGAAATGGTGTTTCTCACAACACAATCCAAGGACTAAGGGCAGTTGTTATACATTGTATACATGATAGGATGAAGTATAATGGAAACTGTATTTCATTAAAGTTTTTACGAATATCTCGGAAACTAAGTCCGAACTAGGAAAAAGTTGCTTAGAATAATGATTTTTACAACATATATCAACATCATTGAAATCGGTGAGGCGGTCATGATTCCGAATAATTACTGGAGGTTATGTTGAAAAATAACAGCAATTAAAACTGAAATAGTATAAAATAGTATCTACGTTTATTTATCATCACGGAGTAATGGTAAAGTAAGACTCCTATCCAATAGGCCCAAGTTCGATTCCCGAATACTAGTATCTACGTTCACAACAAAGAGATATTTGAATGCCCTCAAGTTCTGAAGACGTGTATAATATAAATAAGCGTTTCTTAATATAAATGAAATTTAAAAATTGGCCGCAAAATGAAACCAGAGTAGGGACGAAAACACTCGTTAGACTTCTCCTGAAAGGAGAGTATTATATCTATACTTGTACATCGAAAACGAATAAGGAAAAAGAAACCCTGTATCATGAAAACGTAAGTAGCCAGAACTAAAGCAGTGAAAGTTATTGGTACTCTTCTAAACAAAAGAGGAAAAAAGTAAAAGGTTTACGTAACCATAACCTATAAAAATATTCGTTACCGTTGTTTGCGACACTGGTCCTTGCTGCACAGGTACTGCATAATTCGCGTAAATCGAGTTCTGATTAAATACATCCCCTTGGGCATTATTCTGTACATTGGCTTGACCCTGGCTCGGATGAGGAGCCATCATCACAGTTTGCTGGCCCACGGAGGGTGGGTAGACACCCTGGTTGTACGGTTCTGAGGTAGGTATGTAGGTGGTATATTGTTGAGCTGTTTGGTTGTGATTACAAGTTTGCACCGTCGACGACGATTTGACTAGAGTTTGTTGCTGCTGCGGTTGATGTTGATGCTGCTGTTGGTGGTGGTGTTGCTGTTGCTGGTGCTGCTGAGGAGGTCCTGGATTATGCTGCGGCGGCGGCGTGAACGGCAAACTTGGCGAGGTTGCCGTGTTCGTCGTGTGAGTGACCGTCGATACATTGCCTTGGCAAATTCTGTTCGAATGCGACCTCTTTTTCCCTTCGTTTTTAATATTATTCGTTTGTTTGGATGGCTCGGATGGCTCGACGTTCTTTGCGTGAGACACGTGATTCCCGTCGTTCTCGTGCGGCGATGCAGCGGCGGTATAAAATTTTGGCGGATTCTCCGGATCGAAACGATAAATCGAACCGTCCGGATTTGTGTACGGCTGATTCGTTTGCGGATTTATGATTATGCTACCGGGTGGCACGCTGGATATACTGGTGACCGCCCACATCACCGTTTGGTTAATCGATTCCGGCGAAGCGAGATCCTGACTAGATACTTGCGTATGACTGCATGTCATGTTAGCCACGGGCGATGGCGACGGAGACGGTGATATCGTCGCGTCGCTGCGCTGGCTTTGCGATTTGTAGCCGCTGCTCGATGGGCTCAGTCGTGAACACATGCTAGCACCCGAGTCTGTAACAGAGATTTAACATGCTCTTGATAGATGTACTTTTATTCATCCTTACAAAGGGAACAATAGTGCTGGACGTCGATTTCAAGGTTATGTCTCAACCTAACAAAACCATGCGTGCAATCTTATGTCCATACCATTTCGAGAGAAGGGAGGACAACATTTGGAAAATTCCACTTGGTCGGTATATGTGCTGCTAATTTTACCACTTTGATGTAACAACATCGCCTATTAATTTTTTCATCCAACCTCAAGTCTCCCTGGAACAAATTTTGCTACAATTTTTAGTTATAGCCGTACGATATACATATGTTGTCACGTTCTTTAACATATAAATATGATTTTAAACGAGGAAATTATGCGAATACTTGTGTGTAATACAGTGGCATGAGATTTTTAGGGATTTCAGTTTAGATCAGACTATTGAATTATTATGTACAAATTTGTACTATGACATAGAGAACTAAATCTGAAATAAAAGATTTGGAAAAGATTTTAATTTATGTTCCAGATGTTATGATCTGAATCAAGATGAAAGAAATTTTTTCTCTTTTTTTTTTAACAAAATGGAAGTCGTATAAAGACAAAAGTTAGATTTGAGATTTTTAGGAATGCCAGCTTAGATTAGCCTATTGACTTATTATTTAAACATTTGTATTACGATTCTAAATTCTTTAAATGGTTTTCATTTCGACTCATTAATCCCTTAACATAATATATGTTTAATCTAACGTTTTAAGGGATGACGATATTTGTTTTCCTCCAAATTATACGTTACATACAACATTATAATTAACAAAAACCGCATTTTTATATAGCTTAGAAACAAATCCAATAAAGAAAACTGATCTTTCTCGGTTAATCCGAAAAATTTGAGCGTTAAGGGGTTAAGGGGATACTATCATTGAGAGTCACTGTTTTTAGAGCGATCTTTGGTACAAAATAATAATTATAATTATAGATGAATAATATTAAAATTATACATAGATGTTTGGTCATGTTTAAAGATAACACAGATCGATTTTTATATCACATTTTCATTAATGGGTTGTCGTCTGTGATATTATCTATTGATTATTTGTAAAATAATTTAAAGTTACAAACAAATGTGGAAACATTCTTTTAACTGTAAGCAATATACTATAGTGAAAATTGACTTTCAAAGTGTCACTTTAAAATAAACAAAAAAGAAATAAAAAAAAATCATTTTTTTAAAGATTCTAGAGTAGAATAGTTCCTTAACTTCTCTGTAGGTGTGCAGTGACGTAATTAATTTTAGGGACAAAGTGACTTTGCCCCGACATTCTGCTTAAACAAACGATTGCATACAATAATTGTGTCTTATGAATGATGACATGCGCTGCAGTTAATGCACAAGTCATTATCATGAATTCTATACAGAGTGAACCACGTAACTTGATAAGTATCGTTTATTCACAATAACTAGTATCGCGGAGTATTTCTATACCCGAAAAAAGCAACTATTAAAAAATAAAACTATCAAAAAATAAAAAGCAGTCAACTTTCGCGCACAATTGTTTTTATTTCACGCAATTCGTTCCACAGAATATACTTGGTACTAGCGGATCGTTGAAAAGTCTCGTCTTAATATTCTCTAGATACAGGGTGTTCGGGCACCCCTGGAAAAAATTTTAATGAGGGATTCTTTAGACCAAAATAAGACAAAAATCAAGAATACCAATTTGTTGATGGAAGCTTTATTAAAAAGTTATTAACGTTTAAAGTTCCACCCGTACTGAATTTTTTTCTCGAAAATGCGCAGGATTTCGGGGGTATGTCTATTGACCAAAAATGATTGTAATTGACCCCGGCAACCGAAAATAATTTTTCCAGCACGATTTGAAATTTTTTTTTCCGTCGAAAAATTTTACACCTTCTCGAATTTTTATCTAAAATGTGGGTAGGATTTCGGGGGTATGTCTATTCACCAGAAATGATTGTAACTGACACTCGCAACCGAAAATAATTTTTTTAGTACGATTTGAAAAATTGTTTTTTACCGAAAAATTGCAGCACCTACTCGATTTTTTTTCTCGAAAGTGGATAGGATTTCGGAGGTATGTGTATTCACCAAAAATGATTGCAATTGACCCCCACACCCAAAAATAATTTTTCCAGAACGATTTGAAATTTTTGAATTTAATTGTTAATAACTTTTTAACGAAGCCCCCATCAGCAAATTGGTATTCTTGATTTTCGTCTTATTTTGGCCTCTAGAATTCCTCATTAAAATTTTTCCCAGGAGTGGCCGAACACCCTGTATAAAAAGATTGTAGGCTCCATTATAAAAAACTGAAGGTGATTTTAGAATAGTTCAGAAAAAGAATCGTTAAAATATCATATAATCATTTTGAAGGTTCTCCCTGAACCGTGTTATACTAGACAAAGAATATGTTCAACAGTTCATTGGTAATAAAACAAGTTAAGTTGATCAAATTACGTGATTCATCTGATATACATATCTTGTCGAAAAACATTCAAACTTACCATAAATCCACCCTTAGTGGTTGAGAATAAATACAGATTCAAGATGTGCAGTCACTACGTTTCGAATGTAAACGGGCGTGAGTGTTACACTGCTTATACCTATTTATTCATTATGTACTCAAATTTTCTATTAGATATATTTTAATTACATGGTTAGTAATGTTTGGTGATTAGACCAGATAGATTACCCTAGATTTGTGTCGTAGTAGATTTACAGAAAAAAAAATTATATTACCAACGGAAGTCTCTTAGAAAGTTCACAAACCACTGTAAGTAATTTCTTACGAAAAAGAACAGAAGTTTAGAAACGAAAACAGCGCGTGGGTGTCGGAAAACTTTTGTCCACAACTGGATTCGGTAAATTAGTAGTTTGTCTCTACGTGGATTAACCAATTTTGTTCAAACTATGGACCACGTAACAAAATATTCCAAAATGCTGAAAATCTGAAATTTTCAGTAAAGATCACTTTTCTTATCACCCCGGTATCTTATTTTTTCCCCAAAGTAAACATTGACAATTTTCTATAATATGTTGCGTAGTTTTCATCATGATTAAAACGCACATTTAACAATATTTATAAACGTCAATGTAAAAAATTAGTTTTCCACTAGGTATCAAAAATTTCACCATATTATACGCGAAGGTATAAAATTAAATTATATTGCTTACGCCTGAAAGCATGTTTTTGTTTTTGCAAAAAATTTGTTTCCTCAAGATTTGCAACGTCGAAACTTGTCGGAACGCTATAATCACCAGAACATACTGACCAAGCGGAATTTCCCAAACTTTAACCTACCTGTTCCCAATAGTTTACGAACATATTCGATTAATATCGTATACATAGAATGGTAGGTCCAAACCAGTTTAATTGAAATCGGCGTCGACCACTAATCTCCCTCCCTTTGTTAGAGGAAATCGTTTAGAAACATCTGATACTGACACTTTCTACTATACTTGATAGAACTGATAATTCTAGGTTACGAGTTTTTTTCTTAGCCATTGCATCTTAGTCAGAAAAAACTAATGTTTTTTTTCTATGTACATTTAATTATCACAACTGTCATATCGTTGCATTATCTGATCCCAAATATAAAACACAAACTTGACAATATTTAACCGAATAACTAACAAGGGTACCTTTCGGAATTCAAAAATTTAAGAAAATTTGAAATCATAAACTACGAATGGTAGTGACCCTTCAAAGGAACCAATTTTTTGTTCTCGCAATAAAACGATTTTCTGGGTGAATAAACACTCCCTTAAAGAAATTACAAGTTTCATAATTAAAATATAAAGAAAAATTCAAAATACCCTATAATGTGATGGCAAAAAATTCAAGAAAATGGCGGACGGTAGGGATGAATTAAAAAAAAAATTTTTTATCATTACAGAATATGTAGAATATAAAGAACCATAAGAATTGTAATTAAACTTTTTCTTTATGCCTTGTATCGTTTCGGAAATATTCGCGATATTACGTAAAAGTGACTTCTGATATATGTAGTCTAGTGATCATACAGTAAAGTATATGTATATCTTATCAGATATCACAACTTTCACAACAATATCTTGTCTAAGATAAGTGATTAAAGAATCTACCAGTTCCGATTTCCCCTACTTATAATTTCTTTAAGGGAGTGTTTTCACTCGAAAATTCATTTTATTGCGTGAAGAAAGATTGTTTCGTTCATAAGGTCTCTTAGAACTACCATAAAGAGATGACTTGGTGTGGCTAGGCACGCTGATTGGCCGTAGCGTAATAGCAAATAGAAACGCCTGCCCCCACACGCATTGTCATTATTGGCTGAGTCGATCACAACTAGAATTCCATACGAAACGTATCAAGACAGAGTAGGATAGCATATTGGACGACATTGGCGTAGCTGTAAGCTCAGTGTATTAACCATGAATAAAACAAAAATGTATCTCGTGGATACGGAGATCCTATTACTATGGAACGTGGCGTCAGAGCGGGCCTCTATGGTGGGAATAAGGCGGCGCGAAGACCTACTCCTTCAGTTTTTAGGTGCTCAGCCAAAAAGTCATCTCTCTATAGTATATTCGTGCATAAATTCATGTTGAATTTTCGAATGTCCCTTGTAAGAATTGACGGCGAACCTTGCTTCATGAGACGAGCTCCAGCACTGTGAGTAGAGGTGACGCTATCCCCCCTGGAAAGCATGCCTCTGGTGTAACCACCGAAGCTGAAGGACTTGGAAACAGATGGTCTCAAAACTCCGCCCCGGCAGGACTCTCTTCCATCGAAGGATTCCCCTTTCAAGAGCTTCGTTTGCCTGTTAGATAGGACAATGACATTAACTTGGTCCTTAGGATGAACTCGCGCGACATATTTAACGCTGAAAATAGATTCACCTCATCGTGTGATCCGAGGGATGTAACAAACGATATCTCGCTGATGCGTCGGAGCTCTCGGAAGAGGACCAATAAGGCCAGGAAGTGATCTCGCTGCCTTCTCCGCTGCTGTCCTTGAATATTCTTCGCCTGGCGCGTTCGTACTCCTCTTCCCTTTCCTCGTAACTCTTGCTTTGCCGGCAATAATCCCCAGACAGTCTGTCAGGCGATTTGAAATTAAAACTGTCCTCGAACGAGCTCGAGTCTCGTTTCAGGATACTCCTGCGCGGCTCCTCCGACAGAATCAGATCGTCCCGGATGTGCTCCTTGAAACGGGTGTTTGGTATTCGCATGTTCCTCGTCCTGGTCACTATCACGCTCGAGCCAGACTGATCAACGTTATGCTCCATGCCAAAGTAAGCAGCCACACGATGAACCAACATTCTATTGTACGAGGACATGTTCGGGAACTTGTGACAGACCTTTTGCTTGTCCCTCGCGAACTCGATCAGATCTTTCTCGATCTTCAACAGCACCGTGCGATCCTTCTGATTACGATTTATGGTTTCAGCAATGAAATGCTCCAGATCTATTCCGGTGCTGTCCGTGTACAGTTCCGTGCTGCTATCTGCGAACGAAAACGGAACGGATTTCTTTGGCAACCGAGACTATCTCTGCAGTAACGATGGAATCAACAACTACGTTGATCGAGACACCTTCAATTCTTTGTACATCAAAAAAAATTTTATGTTTTCAACGAGGTTATTTATCTTCTTTCTAAACAGATGTGTTTTCTAAAGTTACAAACTTCGACCTTTCTTTTATAGTATGACCAATTTTTGTAGTAGAATTTTATAGAGTAATGCCTTCTGAGATTGAAAGTATTAATTTTGACGTTAAACAAAATTTAATATGCACTATAACTTCAGGGTTAATTTTCGATTGTATATCGAAATACTAAATACTTTCAATTTTCTTTATTAAATTCTGCTAAAATCGCATTATAAGAAATTACCTTGGAATAATCTATGAGAGCGCTTTGAACAAACTTTCTTTCATTACCATTATTATATTGTCATAACTAATTTATCTATATACATATTAAGATATTTTTGGCTTCTCTATTTCATTACAATTCTCAAGATTTGTTTCAAGTAGAGACCTAAAACTGGCATTATTTTCTTATCGTAATTGTTACCAGTTTTTTATACCGAAACTGATCTAATACCAACATTGTAATACCACCAATTGGTACCACCTTTTGAAGGTGTAAACATTATATTTTAAAACTTGAACCATCTTGCTTTAAATAGCAGCGTAAAGTGAGAATTTAAATAAAATTAATTTTGGTGTTTTATTGGGAACGGCTACTTATCAACGAACCTCGCGAGAGGCAGGGAGAGACGCTGTCGAAGCTACCCTGAGAAGAATTTTGATGCCTCAGCTTGTGCCGTGAGCCAGGTCTGCTCACGGATAAAGTGTTGCCGCATTGCGTGTTGCATTGATTATTGCAGATGTTGAGTGTGTTTGGTCTGCGTTGTTCAGACCTGTGTTGATTGTTTTGCGCGTTCTGGACCAGGTTCGTGCTCTTCGGCGAGTGTTGCAACACCTGGCCGGACTTGGAGGGTGACACGGGCGTTTGTAGCAATCCGGGTCGTTCATTTTGATTGTTCTTCACGCAGTTATTGCATTTCTGGATGATGTTGTTGCCAGTCTTGGAACGCTGGGACTCCGTCTTATTACCGTTCGTCGGCGAAGTGTTATTCTTTGGCGAGTGGACTTGAGAAGGACTAGATTGACCTGCGACCAGAGGGAACCCAGTTGAGCAGAAAGGGACTCGAGAGTCGACTATTACTCTCAAAGAAGGATTTACCGTTTCGTGACGGGGCTCGACAGGTGGGCGAGGTGGCCGTGTTGCGCATTTGCTTCGGGGACTGATTCGGACAGAGATTGCTGTTGAACATCGACTCGTTGTTATTGATCTTGGTGGAGTTTGGGTTACCCACGAACTTCTTGTCGCCGTCCACTGACTGAGGACTGTGCGGAGACGAGGAACCGTTGTGTGGTTCCCTCGGGGGAGACGTCGACTCTCTCATGGCATGGCTCCTGACCAGTAACTTTACTTTCGTATTCGTCTGAAAGATTACACAATTTGGTCTAGTTCCTAAATGCCAAACTAAATATCACGAACATCCCTCTATAACCACCTACCCTATTACGAAAGTTTTTGTTCTCTGTGTCGGATCTATCGGGTGGGCAGGAGGGCGAGGTACGGTGGAGCGAGGGAGAAGAGCCGACATTGGGATTGACATTCCCGTCTATCATGTCCGATTCCGTGCTGCTCTGATATGACACGTTTGGGCTACCTACGACGAAGCCTTGTCTCGAGGATGGCACCGAGGGCATTCCTCCTCCTCCTCGCACCACCACCGTGGGACTCTCAGGTCGACTGTGCGACCTGCTGCCTTTATGCACCACTATGCTTGGTACTGTAACAATAAAACGCAATTCTGATTCCTTTCGACCCTATTTGCCTAGGGACCTGGTCGACTGGGAGTTTTCAAAACCACTTCGATAGCCTTGTGGCGCTGCTTTGTTGGTTGTAGGAAATCGAGAAAAGTCGTAGAAAGGCAGAAAAGAAAAGGAGAAGGCAGACTCATCGGTAAGGCTTCCTAGCAGACCCTGCTTTAAATGACGGGGAAGAGTGTACAGGAACGAAGGGGTCGGTCGAGCGCTTGCGAGAGAGACAAGAGCGTAGCCCTCTGGTGGCGAGTACGGGAGGTGACGCCACAGCCTCTTTCGCGAAGAAAGAATGAAAAAGTTTCTGCAAATCGTGGGAAGAGGAGATGGCAAAGGAAACGAAAGCTAGTCAGCGTAAATGTACACTTACTCTCCAGGCGGGCCATGTGTTAAATGCGTCATGAGGTTACGGTGCAGGGCTCTGCAACTGGTGGGTTCAAACAGGTACAATTGGGTTAGTACGTGAATCTTTCGGGTGGCGTGCAGCTCGTGGGACTGATACAAGGAGCCAGACCACTGCACGTCCACCTTCCAACATCGTACACTCTGTAAGCAGACACAACGCAACATATTCAGTTCAAAACGAGGATGCAGTCGTTATTGGTAGATAGAAAATGATAACTCAAGCAACTTGCGCATCCTCAAACGCAGAATCTAAATCTCTTTAACAAAGAGATGGCAATTCTCGGGTCACCGATTTCATTGAAACTTTCCATACTTGTAAATCTTATTCTGTTCACGAATATGTAATATAGTATTACGGGACCAGATAATCAATTGTTGAGATATTTGCGATCGAAGCTTCATTATTTGTAGCTTCACTGTTTAACAAGTGTGTCGTGACGTTGGTGGTAACGCATTACATTTTGTTCAACGAGCAGCATTTGTTTTTGTTCGTCGTCTCATTTCCTTTGGCTCCGCACTTGCGAACATGATCTTATACTCTATTCGAAGTAAATTGAAAACAATTTATATCGTGTTTGGTCTTATTTTAATCGGAAAATTCTCACAAATACATTGGTCAAAGTTAAAAAAAAAAGTTTCATTTTTGCATTATGTAGTATGTATGAATGTTGTCTCAGCGATACTCGAGTCTAGATCAGGTTACACTACGCGTTGAGTGTAAAGGGGTATCCCCTCTCATTTCCAGTAGTAGGGATAATTACCGTTCACTTATCCATCGAAAATGACTCTCAGATATCCAAGCATTGCTGCTGCATATACAGTCCGCTACACTTAATTAAACGCAATAGTACTTTTTCAATGTTACCCTTAATTCAACCTCAAATTAATATGATTCTATTTTTCTACAATAAGAAACTACATTCATTTGTTTTGGGTAATTATTTATTTAGTATAAATATATTTATGTTTTATAAAAAAAGATATGAATGTGCTTGCGTCATTTGAATAATCGTGTTTCATTTTACCACTGTTTTTGTCTCATTTTGCGTGGTTTTGTTAATCGAATCCTTAGTAACAGTTATAACAAGAACAATCTCATATCATAGACAGTCGTGCCAACTCGTAACGACCTGGGGATGCCAACTGTGACAGATGAAATCACTCATTACGAAAACAATTTTCTTATTAATTTGCTACAAACCAACGCATACAGACTCAAGAAAACTCATTCCCTTAAATTAATCGATAAATTTATCCAAGCATTATGACAAATACTAGCATTATAATTGCCCAATTCTTGTAGTTCTATTGTTACTTTTATTATTTATAGTTTAGTTTAGTTATTATCTTTCTTTCTCCTTTTTTACTTAGTTATAATCATCATCTAGTTTACTAGCATACAAATACTCAACACATGCAATACTTATACTAGTCACGTTATAGACCAACGTTGACATATTTGCTGAAGAATTCATTGTAAATTTTATGAAGTGCACTAAAAAAGACAAAAAATTTTTTGTATGAAGGAAAAAATGGGACGATTAGTGCAGCTAAATTATAATATTATATTATACAATTCCGAAAAAATGATGAAAATTCAGATATTAAAAGAAAAGGGATCGAAGAGGGAAAGAAGAGGGGAAAAATAAGTAAAGTTAATGATTAATGAGCATCGATAATGATTTAACAAAAGTTCTAATGGAGTTATCAATTTATAAATCATGCATGAGAGGGCAGCAAGACGCAAGAAAATAATACTCTGAAATACTGAAATTAGAAAAAGTTAAAATTTTTAACGTAACGAAGTGTAATAAATGGATATTAGGCTTGATCACGTTGCAAAAGAAAGTGAAAAACACTGAGAATGAGTGAAATAGAGAGACATGTTCAAAGTTTGTTTATTCTACAGTTTCTAAAATCGTTCAGAGATCGAAGTACATATCATAATTATTAAATATTCATTGATTAGGGCCTCTTATTATGAATGAATAGAACATATTAATTTGAGGTTGATTTCAGAGTAATATTGAAAAAATATTACGTTTATCATTCATACATGGGTGACACGATTTTTCACCAACAAGTTAAAAAAATTCATTTTCAAGATTAGACGGTAAAGAAACTAAATCTAGATAGAACTCTTGAATTTTAATTTGTAAAAATAAGTTCTACGACAAATTGTGGGTAGCTTCCAATTGTTTAAAAGCAAGGTTTTGTTTTCGTAGACAATTTGAGGGGTTTGGTCACGGACTATATTTCTGCGATTGTTTATGTACAAGTATCATACATCATAAATATATTCGTGAACAGAATTTACGAGATCTACAAATGTGCGGTCTCAATAAAATCGGTGACCCGAAGACCTTGGCCTCTCCTTGAAAGTTATGAAAAATTTTCACAGTGTTTAATCCTTACCAACAAGTAAAATAATCGCATTTGCTAAAGTCAAATCCCAAACTTCTTTCAAAACCACTTTTCCACATGCAGTTAAGGGGCTTATAAAAACAGGTGAATTTTAAATCTGTTCTTTTAGAGTATCTAATAAGTAGTATAACGTGATCTTTTCTGCTCGTGTTAAGCAACAATTAGAATGTTATTAGATCCAATAGATCAAACATTCAAATTTGAATATGTTATAAATTATAGAATTTGTTTTGGTATTTTAATTGCAAAAAATGTTATGAATACTATTTAAAGTTGAATCTTCTCGGTAAAGAAAATATTTTTTCTCAAAATATATCAAAATCATTAGATACTTTTAAATTGGATGAATACTTTTTTGAGAGATTCATTGGGTTCCAGCTGATAAGATTCTCGGCCATTTTGTAAGTTAAGGTACTAAATCTTGCACGAGAATAAAAGTAAGATCACCTTATACTACATTTGATTGTTACCCCAAAAAAAAGATTGTTTTCTTTTGGCATTTAAAGTTCGAATTTTCGTCTTCACGAGAACTATTTTGTCAAAATGAAAACGAAAACATTCGCACGACAACTTTGCTCGATAACGATGGTATCGTGAATCGTTCCAAATGCTATACATATATTCAAATATCCGGGACAGTAACAGGAAGGAGTGGGCGTTTTCGTGCCTGGAGCTACATTTGAATCGATTCTTTCGTTTACTTTTCGGCGTTCCGAGCAGAAACTCGTGCCCCGCGTTTCTATACATATGTGGAAATGTGGCTTTACGAGTTCAGCATTTGTATGCAGTGTTACGTACAAGATGTCGCAAAAATGCATAGCGCAAACCTAACGATCTGATTCGTCGGGAAAAAATGAATCGATAATTTGGAATAGAATTTTCTTGTACGAGCTTCCGTTCTCCAGAAAAGTTAAGTTTGAAAACGTTTGGAGCGCGCTCTCGATCGATTTTCTTTGGATCCGTGAGACTTTATTCTTGTACAGATTTATTATATCGAGTACTCATTCATACTATTTATTAGATCGAACACTCATAGAGAAACGTTGAATGTAAATTTTTGTTCGTTCGTTTCCTTCTGGAATTTACACTCCTGAGAAACAATAGTTAGTTTCTTGACACACTCACAGCATTTCAAATAACAACACGCTTGTTAGGTGTATTTCAAAGCGAAATATGAGAGTTCCGTGCATGGGAATAGCGATACTTAAAAACGAAAACAATTTAACGAGTTTAAAAATGATGAAAGTTTCGCGAGTTTCGAAGTTCCTTCCGGAAAATACCGAGTTGACGGTTGTTGCCCATCGTAACGAGTTTAGTTGCGTGTGCAACAGAGTCAAGAAATCATAAAGAACAACCTAATTAGTATTAATATTTTGTTCGAACTTGGAGTTATAAATCGACCATGTTTTGCAAATAAATACAGTGTACATATATGAAACGAATCGACGCCAACATGTGAAACACAGCAACAATCAAATTTCTAAGCGCAGATTTAATTCTAAGCGCAAAACAATGTTTACCTTTCCAATCGTTACATTTTATACATATTCGCTCCTCGATCTTTTATCAGTTTTCCCGCCTCGATATTTATTAAGACTTCATAAAATATGATCTTGTATAAATAAATAATTTATATATTTGAATAATTAAAATATTAATTAATAAATTATAAACAAGTACAGTTCGTTTTAAACTGTCTCGTGTACGGACATTTTATAAATTGTACGATTTTGTTACAGTAAATTTTATTTAATTTATATCTAGGATAATAATGGACTTTTTTTTTAATTGGTAAAAAATTCTTCAACAGCTACAGAATTGGAATCTAAAATATTCATAATTATACTTGAATTTCGGAGGTATTGTAATTTTATTCTACGATCGCTTACATTTTCTAAATTTTTGGTTGTTTTTATTACCGTGTCTGTGAGGGCTTTCGTAATTTGGATTATATTTATTTATTTAGCAAATATGATCCAAGTTGTGTTACGTATCGTTTCAAACGTCTTGCAAATATGATAATATTTTCATTAACACAAAAGTCAATAATAAGAAAAATTCATCCTTGAATTGGTACCGTTTCATTGACGCGAAAGCTTATCTCATCGATTGAATATCATATAGTTCAGTCAAGGCTCGAGTATCGTGGCACGTCTCATTAATCGCTTGACTGATTTCAAGGAACATACCCCTAGCAGTAGGGATGAAATTTTCCATATATCGTGGACACCACGTTCACGTTTATCTCGAGAATACTGTACTGCAGCAGTTCTTAAAGGGTCACAGGATGATATACATGAGAACGCGTAGCTCCTATAATAATCATTACTTTAGTATGAAAAAATTACCTTGTATTCGTGAATCATTATCAAATATACAGGGTGTCCAGCCAACCCTGGGAAAAATTTTAATGGGAGATACTGGAGGTCAAAATAAGACGAAAATCAATAATGCCAATTTGTTGATTGAGACTTCGTTAAAAAGTTATTAACGTTTAAAGTTCCGTCTGTAGCATGAGAAACTACTTACTGACTCATCGACAGTCTTACAGTTTTCTGAGTGAGAACCACTGCCAGCTGTTCGCAGATTGCCGTTCTACAGGCGGAACTTTAAACGTTAATAACTTTTTAACGAAGTCTCAATCAACAAATTGGCATTCTTGATTTTCATCTTATTTTGACCTCCAGAATCTCCCATTAAAATTTTTTTCCAAGGGT